TGTTATTCATTGAGAGGACTTCATGATGCATTAATACCGTAATTAACAATTTTAAGAGATTTATTCTGGTCTGATGGATATGCGCTCAAATGAATGATGCATCATATATTTTTCATTTGTTTCGTATTTTCATTACCGAAGATCCTTGAATTGGAAATATTTATGTTAAGCAATGACCCAGCTCAATAGATAATAGTGCATAGTTAAATTCGTAGATCATGATTTAGTTTCAGTTGTAGCTGTAGTCAGTCATGGTTTGAGAGACTGGAATTGGCATGTTTATTTAAATCTTAGTATATTGGGTCTAGATTAAACATCGGAAAATATTATAATGGAATGGAACTTTTGAACGAACTTCAACTCAGTTAAGAGTTACTTGATAATTTCCTCTTTGTATACAGGTCTAACATGCCAAACGGACAACCCAAGTGGCTTCTTTCTCTTATCCCCGAGTATCCTATGCTCAACTTCATGCTCACAACTGCTATATACGTATTTGTAAGGATCTTTCTTCTTTCTTTCATTTGTTTGTTTTTCTTATTTATATTCAAGTCCCATCATACTAAGTTACACATTTTGTATGCACTGCTATCTTGACATGGTTTGCAGGTATCTCATCGACTTTTTGAATTAACAAATACACTTAAGACAGTGTTCATACCTACAAAAGACAATCGGCGGCTGCTACATAATTTTATTACTGGGGTTATCCTTTCCCTATCTGTGTATTGCATCTCACTCATTCTGATTCAGATTCCTCATTCAACGGTAAATGTCTATTTGCTTTGTAAAGGGTTTATACTTGATAATCTTGGGAAAGGATAATTACATATAAGATGTCTGGGTGCTCAGGTGCCTGTTACTTGTTGCTTAAAGCTTCAATAATGAATACCAAATGAAGTTTTATAATGCTTTGTTTTAAACAAAAGAGGGGGTGGGTGGATCAAATATGTCTTTTCATTTTCTTAAATATATATATTAATTGGAAATTTGTTTGATACTGATAGGTTTGAAGGTCAAGACATCAAAGAGAGTTTACATACCTTTGGATTGGCTGTCTGAGAGGAAACTAGGAAATGTGGATTAAAATAAGGGTACACGGAAATGTGGGATCGTTTTTGGAGCAGTGTTTCTATAGTTGCGGAAGTAGTATCTTCAATGACAGCATCCAATATATACGTTGAGTGTTGGTTTGTATCAGAGGTTGGCAGATGAAAAGGGGGATTAACCCTGAAGGAATTTGAACCAATTTTCTATAAATTCATTTGTGCTCACACATAAAAGGAGGAAAAGGTAGGATCATGATACAAATCCTTTTCTTGGCTTCGAAGAAATTCAAGATTCATTACATTACCTGTTCCTTTTCAATTTTCATTGTCATTTTTTGACTTTGTTCGTCTGTGAAGGATAAGGAAATATATGTATATTCATTTTTACAATCTTACTAGAAACGCATTGTCATACTCTTGTAACAATAGTTTTGTTTAATGGCTATAAGTGCAAGTATAGTGATCTTTTTTTTTTCTTTCTCGGTCATTGGGGTAGTATTGAGGGAATTTTACGACTGCAGGGTTCGAACCTGTTGCTCATTAAACTTAGTCCTGTTGGCTCTAACTAGTGAGTTATCTGGGCAAGGGCGATTATAGTGCCACCATTTAATTGCAGAGAATGTTTGGCACTTTAGCACACTGTAGCAACGATGTCCCCCCACAAAGTTTAGAAATAATGTTGTTTAATTAGCACTCAACCAGAACATCCACACTGAAATGTTCTCAATCGCTTCTTTAAACTCTGGACCAGCGATAATACGTTCGAATTTGCATGACACGAGTCATTTCGTTGCATTGCTAACTATTGTCATTTGCTCGGAGGGATTTAGGGTTCAACTTTGGAGTGAGCTATAATTTTAAATGTCCGATAATGCAAGCAAAGTTATAAATATTTAATTGTTGTGCCTAGAAAGTATATCTGTGGCAAAGGATTGATCTTTAAGGAGTAATATATCAAATTACTTAATGAAATTGAAATTTAGAATCATTAGGTGACTTCAAGAATCAAAGTAACATTATTGCAATATTAGGAACGAAGTACTCATAACTTTAGAGACTAGTTTAGTGCATTATTAGATGGTTAGGTAGCAGCCTTAAAATTACATTTAATTTTAACATTATTCGTGGACCCATAATTTTGTCATTGATGGAAAAGTTGGTACGTTAAAAACCTGAAATTTTGTTTCCTATGTAGGGCGTGGGGATGGTCCCCCTTTAATCTGTCCCTGTTGTTAACTCACATGATGGTGATAGTATTCTCCACAAATTCCAGGTGTCAGGCACAAACCTTTTCATTTATTCTTTGACAAAAGAATAGCAAATCTTGACGGAATAAAGAATTTGTTTCAAAGCGTGAATTAATAAGGGAGTATAATTTTGTTTTAAAAAATTTGAAAAAACTTCGTTATATAATAATTTAAATATAAAATATTATCCATGAATTTGGATTAATAAAAATGAACTATTAAATAATTTTAATTTTTTTAAATTTATAAATTTGATTTATATATTAAAAAAAACCTAATTTAATAGTTAAATTTTTTAAATTTGATATAAAAAAAATGAATTAAATATAATAAATCTACTAAAATTTATTAAAAAAAATTTAATTAAATGATTAAATCGTTAAAAATATTAAATTATTAAATAGAATACCTTCATAAAGACTTAGTTCAAAAGTAAATGAATTTATTTTATATATATAAAATTAAGTTTTGAGAAAATAATAAAACTATTGCTTATTCATAACCCATAATTCAACACTTCGCTCATGCCTTTTTTTTCTCGTTGAACTTACACTCATGGCTTTGTAAAGCACAAAGGCGTTAATTTTATCAAGAATAAATAGTAAGAATAGAATTAGGCTTTTCAATTCGTATTTTTGTGAATAATTTGAACAAAAATTAAGCAGTATCGTTATTTATTGTTGGACAGAAATACTGAAAATAGAGTGAATTAAAAGGTGGGTTCCATGAAAGAGATAAATATTCCTATCTTACCAAATTCAATTACTAGAGTGATATTGAAGCGTTCCATAGTTCATCGCATTCACTTTTGACTCTTCCGTTCAATTCTGCCATAAATTTCAAGCTCCAAAAAAACGAGTTGGCGGTGTTCTATTTCTTCTACATGTTGATATGAAAGAGTCGTGCAAGTTTTCTAGCTGTCTCCAAAAGGCAAAGATATTTGTACCTTCCTGCTCTAATCAATGCTCTTATAATCTCATTTATTCTTTTCTTAAATGTCTTTATCTTAAAAAATGTCACAACTTTTTAATTTATATAGAAAAAAAAATACTGCATTTATTTTTAGAAAGGTGGGTTGTTTACTTGATATTAGACGGAGTCATCTCATATTAATTTAAATTTTTTTATAAAAAGTATTCTACATTCAATAAAATATGGAAATTAGTTTCTAATGAAAAACTAAAATCTTTTCATTTTATTAAATATAGAAATTAAAAATACATTAATTTTTATAACAACTAAAACAAAAAAAATCATGATATTTTTAAAGATAAAATATTTAATTTTGATTTTGTATTTTTAAATAATTGTTTAAAAATATCTTATATTTAATTTTAATTTTCTATTTTTAAATAATGTTTTAAAAATATCTTCTTATATTTTGTTTTAAAAAGAATCGCGATATATTATGTAAATTGAGAGAATATATATTAAGTTAATTAAAAAATATATATCAAATTTATTTAAATTTAAAAAAAGTGTAAGTAATTTTTTGAGCGCATATCTTTTTTTTTTTTTTTTCTTTACTTACCAATAAATAATTCATTGAACAATTGAGAAAGAATAATGGGTTTCCCTGAGTGTTAAATATACAAATGGTTTTTTAATCGATTAAAACTGAATATAATATAACGAAGAATGTAACTATGTATGCATCGCACAATTAATTTTACGTTATTTAATTTACTTACTTTTATGCTATAATAATACCAAATAATACATTTTTTATTCATCCCAAACGACTTTATGTCATAGTTGTAAAGTTCTTTTCGCAATTTTTTTACGAGAAAAAACTGTCCATAAATGAGAAGTCTTTTCATGAAGATTTAATTAGACACTTTAAATTACAGCCACATAGAAGATTCTACTGTTTTACTGAATAAGTCAAAGATATAAGATTAGAAGTAAAGCTTAGTAAAACAAATCAAGATAGTGCATAAATGACAATAGTATATGCAAAAACTGAATGTGTTTTATCCTCTATTTTGAGGGTCTTGATCCATGTACATTTGTTACTCACTTTTCCTTGTTCAACTGGTGTGGTTTAGTTACATGTGTATTTAGTTATCCATCACTCGGACACTTACTGTTTTAACTCGGCTTTATAGTAAAAAAGTTTGAGTAGTATGTGAATGGTCTTATAGATAAAAGAAAAATCATTGAAGATTTACAAAGTTAAAAACCATTTTACTATTTTGTTAATTTCAAGACCAAATTTACTAACCCCTACAATTTTGGGACCAAATTTGTAATCCGCTCTTATTTTTAAGATGTCTAACCGGTGTTTTGCGAAGGAAAAGCTCCTTCACAAATCCACCGCAAACTAATTGGGATAAAAGCTTTTTTTTTTCTTTTCATTCTTTCATGTTATATAAAGCATGTAAAAGCTCCAAGGAATATGCTGCACAGTCATGTCAAAAATAAATCCACCCCAAACTAACCATTTTTTATTTAAAGGGAAATCTCCATCACAGATCCACCACAAACTAATTCGAATAAGTATTTATTTTTTAGTCATTATTTCATTCATGTGTTATATACTGCATGTAAAAGCTCGAGTCTCCAAGGTATATGCGGCACAAATATATGTGATATGGAAAAATTAAAATTAGAACATAATTTCAGTTACAATTTGTTTTACTTATTATTGTACTTGTACTTCAGTTTAATTATTATTCAAGATCCATTATACTAATCTCTCAATCATATGTTAATGATCATTTTTTCCCCTTTTTGGATAGTTTTTGTGACAATTAACTAGATCTAGATGATAGAAAAATGTACATTAAAAACAGATAATAACCCGATGAATTAACTAGTGATTAGGCATTCTGGGACAATCAATTTAACGGAAAATCTCGTTTTCAATTTCCACCTAGGCAAAGACATATACAATCTCCCGAAACCTCAGTGCAATTTACTCTGACAAAAGTTGTCATAGAATCATGCCTCACTTTCTTTGCAAACCAAATGCTAGATAAGGGGAACATACCCATGCTCTTGCAGAACCGCTGTCAACGAATTTAAGCCAGCATAAATAAAGTCAGTTTGGGGATGTGTCCTGTCACCCGTTATAAAAACATGCACACCATTCACAAGTTCAATCCAGCTACATCCCGGTCTCTTCTTCACATTCTGTTGCTTCATTATATGCCTCACCTCAGATACTTCCTCATATCGACCAACAACTCCATAAACATTCGACATCAACACATAATTTCCACAATGGCCTGGTTCAAGTTCAATCACCTTACTAGCAGCAATCTCAGCCAAGTCTGTGTCCTTGTGGAGACGGCATGCTGCTAGCAAAGACCTCCATCCTACAGCATCGGCCTTGAACGGCATCGTTAGCACCAAATCGTAAGCCTCCACGAGCTTCCCTGCCCGGCAAAGCATGTCAATCACACAGGTGTAGTGTTCAATGGATGGAGAAACACCATATTTTGACTCCATTTCTGACAAAAACTCAAGCCCCTCCTTCACCATGCCTGCATGGCTGCATGCAGATAACAAACCAACAAAACTGATTTCATTAGGTTTCATTTGAGCTTCACACATACGAGAAAAAGTATCCAATGCCTCATCACCATAACCATGCATTCCATAACCCGTGATCATGATGTTCCACGAGGCCACATCCTTCTCTTTCATGTTGTCAAAAACCATGAGAGCATCTCTCATGTTTCCACACTTTGCATACATGTCCATCAAAGCATTGTTCAACAAAACATAATCAAAATCACTCTGACTTCCCTCCTTCCCCATCTCATTTACAACCATATACCCATGTATCTCTCTACCATGCATCAACGCCGCCAGATGAGTACAAGCTGGCAGAACCGTCGTAACAGTAACCAAATCAGGCTGAACCCCAGTTCCCAACATTCTATCAAAAAGCCTCAAGGTTCCATAATGATCACCACACTGTTCATGAACCGACATGATCGAGTTCCACGAGAAAACATCTCTCTCACTCATCACCTCAAACACACTCAACGCATCACCAACACATTTACATTTCCCATACATATCAATCAACGCATTAGAAACAACAACACTTAATTCATAACCCATTTTCATCACAAACCCATGCACAGCTCGTCCATTGTCAAAGTCCCCCATCACAGAAAATATCGACAAAACCCCGGTAACAGAGTATCTACAAGGAACCACCCCATTTCCCCACATCCTCCTAAACACCCCGAGAGCCTCCTCAAACCTCCCAATCTGCGCATACCCATTAACCATCGCATTCCAAAGCACCACATCTCTCACAGGAAATTCCTCAAACACCTCGTGTGCCTCCCCCACCAACCCGAATTTCAAGTAAGTATTAACCAACGCACTGCCAACAAACACGTCCAACTCCAACCCAAGTTTGAACAACAACCCATGAATCTTCGTAATCTCAATAAGATCGCCACAGGCTCTGATAACACACGGGAAAGTGAATTTGTCCGGGACAATACCCATATGCCTCATTTGGCTATAGAGAGCAAAACCACGTTGGGGAAGGGCGTTTGCGACGAAGCCAGCGATGAGGGCGTTGTAGGCGAAGACGTTTTTGTCGTGATGGGTGGGAAAGTTGAAGACTTTGAAGGAGTGGTCGATGAGGGTGCACTTGGAGTACATGTTGATGAGGCTTGTGACGGCAAGGGGGGATCCAAAGAAGGCGTTTTTGAGCAAGTGGGTGTGGAGTTCCTTGCCCTTGGAGAGGTTTGCGTTGTGGGCACATGATTGGAGGGTGGCAATGCAGGTTCCTATGTCGTAGGAGGACCAGCTTGAGAAACAGAGCAACCTGTGATGATGTTGTTTCGGGATGACACCTCTTATGATTCTTCTTCCATTCATCTAAGTGTGCCGTGCATGCATCATCAATCTTGCATGTTTTCGTCGAGAACAAAAGTTTTATAACCCATGCTAAATTATAAATTTAGTGACATACATTATAAAGAATAATTATATAAGTAAACAGAACCACTTTATCTTTAAACAACAATCTATGAACTTTAATAGAATCCATGATCTTATACTGCATATGATTACCAAAAATTTCTCACGGGTCTGCTATACAAATCAGCAATAAATTTTATAAGTAAATAAATAACAAATACATCTTATATAGCTAATTATTTTAATTATCTTATAAAACGAAAACTAATATATTCAAACCTTTAAAAAAAAAAAAAAAAAAAGGGAACCGGAAGAACATGAATTATGAATACTTGAACCTGACCAGTGAGATAGCAATGTATTATGTATCCGTATGTGGACAATTGTTTGCTTATCACCCGAAAGAAGTTTTATGTTGATGACTTAGCTATTAGCAGGCAGGTAACTTGTAGATCAAATGACTACTATAATAGCAAATTCAAATAGAAATTTTAACATATGATTTATTCATGATAGAATGAGTTATTGTATCACAAATTATTTTCCTGATACCATTCTAGACGAAAGAAAATGAAAAGTGATAGCTTGAAAAGGATGAACGATATTATTGTTCACTCAATGGGCTGGAAGTCTATTTATACCAAGTACCAACTGTTAGATAAATAAAACTATCGACTAATTATCAAGCAATAACTGAAGATAAGTAAAATATAACTGCAAAAGTTAAGCGATAAAATGACAATTCAAAATATTTGGTTGAATACAATATATTTCGGTTACATAAATGTCTCTCTTTGAACCTTGTAATTTTGCTGCTCTTTGACCTGCGATATATGATAACTAGATGCAACGCAAGTAATTTGTAGTTAGAGACACAACTTGTTTTTAAAGACACCAATAACAAATATAATAGTAGTTATTCAATCTTATTAGCTTGACATAAATATATACAATTATAATCATGACAAAAGAGCAAATCTAAGAGATACATACTATAAAAAAAATACAGTTTTGTGATAATCTGAGTGGTTTATGACCTGATCATCAGGTTCTGGATTTCCTGTCTGTCTTTACAAATGTTTCCTCAATACTTCTTTTGTCTATATATGTTGTTTACAAATCAAATGCTACTCATTATAAGAAGTTTCATGATGGTTGGCTCAAAATTTGACGGTTTAGATTGCAACGAAGGAATACTATAGTGTTGGGGTATGAACAAAATCTCATATTAATGGATCACGAGGAAAAAAAAGGTTTATAAAATACACACAGTATTTATTGATATATAACTTTTGGAGAGACAATCAAAAGTAAAATTATGCGAGTTTAAGTTCAAATTGGACAATATCATACTAAGTTAGAGACATGTGTATGTGAATCTCGGGTGCTTAATAGTGGTATTAGAGCCAATGATCACCCAACTGACCTACTTAGAGACTCGAACAAGTATTTGACAAAGAGAGGTGATGAATCAAAGTGTAAAATTTCTTGTGTCAAAAGTCTTCCCAATGGTGTGAAGGCGTCCATACTTGTAGTTGAACAAAAAAAAAGGTTTTCGCTAAAGGGAGGTCAAAGGTGTTTGGTAATGGGAGGCAGTATATCCAAGTGTAGGATCTCTTGTATTGAAAGTCTTTCCAATGATGTAGAGATCAAGCGATGCATCCATACTTGTAGATGAAAAAAAAAATAAGTTTCTGTTGAAGGGAGGTCAAACCATGGTTCTTTGTTTGAAGAGATGTTTGTCGGGATACAAACAAAATCACACATGGTTAAATCATAAGGAGAAAAAAAGGTTTTTAAAACATACATAATATCCATTGGTATGAAGCCTAACATATGATAACAACAACTAATGTTTTAAAAATTAGATTGATCATTAAATCGATTAGAGTACTGAATAAGTGAATTAGATATTGAATCGGTGAGTCACTAAATGAACTGCATAATCTGATTTCTATTAAATTTTTATTAAAAAAAATATACATATCATATGTATTTCCTACACTAATTTTAATGAAATTGATATTATATCTTAAAGTGTTTTTAAACATATAAAAAATGATTGGAAATTTTTATTTTTCACAACATATATATTAAATATATAAAATTTATATTTAAGATGATATATATAGAAAAAATTTGCTATATATATAATAAACAAAAACATAAAATTAATAAAAAAAATTATTTATATAAAATTTAAGTTTTAGATAATATATAAAAATAATATACATATATATATATATAACAAATAAATAAGAGCATTGAATTAAATCAATTAATGGCGATTGTAGCCTCCTAAATTACACAACCTAGTTTCAAGTGGAGTGTGTCTAAATTTTATTTTACAATTATTAAAAGTGATAAAATCTAGTGTTTTTGTGTTACTCTTACAAGCTGATGGACAGCAGTGGACGTGATTTTGAATCACGGTCGTTACCTGTTTAAAAGTCGGGTCGATAACGTCTCACGGAACAGTGACATTCCATCTGAAATTATTACTGAACTGGGTTTTGATCTAATTCTCAGTTGAACCGATTGATGGAATTCAACTTTTAAAATTATGACTTAATATTACTCTGCAATTAAATTAAGTTTCATTGTGTAAACAGTTTTCTGTTTCTCTTTTATAAATGTTTCCTAAATAATTTTCTTTATCTATTGGAAAGTTACAAATCAAATGTTATGCATACATAATTAGAAATTGAAATGAGATAAATAAAAATTCCAAATAACTTGTCACATACACTTAGATTTTAACAGAAGAATACATGAATGGTTAAGTCAAGATTTTATGCTTAATTAACTAAAACAGTTTTTGAAAAGAAAAGTCTTTATAACTTGATACTGTTCTTAACTGAAAAAAAATGATATAGCCGCTCCACATGTAGCAATGAGATGTTCTATTAAAAAGAGAGAGAGAGATTTTCTTTGACCTTATATTTAAGCCAATTTTACTATTTAAGTCAATTTTTATTTATAAAATACTATAATTAATGTATTATAAATATAATTGACTTAAATAGTCAAATAAACTTAAATTGACTAAAATAGTCAAATATGTATAGATGACATTTTTTTTTTCAAATGACTAACGTGTAACCTTATTTCATTATAAAAATTATTTTTTTTTATCAATATTTCTTAAAATATGACAATTATATCAACTTTAAATATAAATTGATGATTTGAAATTCTTAAACACTTGATTTCATTAAAAAAAAAAAAAAACTTATAAGTAAATCAATCACCTTGAATTACTTGATTTACATTCAATTAATAATGTGTCTCAAGTAAATCTTTTTTTCTCTAGTCATTAAAGATAAAATGAAGCCGTTCACTTTTTTACTAGAGTCTATGATAAGTTAAGGTATTGCACTTTCTTAGAAAAAATTAGGAGACATCATATTATTTGAGATATCTAGATACTCAAAATCTACTAAAGATATAATTAAGATTTTCATTTTCTTGAATAAGAAAATCTCTAGATATATTAATATGTTTTTCACCATTTTCATTCTAATTTGTATCTCATTGACCTTTTGAATTAACAAACATACTTAAAACATTGTTCATAACCTAAAAAAAAAAGGCAACTATTGCACAAAAGACAATCAAATAAGCATACAATTCAATTAAAATGTCACTTAAACAATTATAAATGATATGAATTTTAACTATACATCTTACACATTTACATTGATAGAACTCTTGTTTATTTGACAAACTTGATTATTGCGATTTTATCTTTACTTGATTTCAGAATATTTAATCTTACATAATTACAAATCACTTAATGAATAACTTTCTAAACACAAAATTCAATTCTTAGCTTAAGATTTAACTTATAAGGATCCTAAAATTTAAGTTGAAAATCTTGTAATAATAGAAAAAATCGTCTTCTCATACCTCCAATCTTCACTTCAAATCTTGTAATAATCATATTCAATCATCATTTTATGACTTAAACCTCCACTTTAAATATTCAATAGGAGTAAACGAAATTTAATAGTTTTTAAACACAAGAAAAATAAAGGAAATTTCTAATAAAATAATGAGAAAACAAATGAGAAAAAAAAACAAATTAGAAACTTATTGTTCAAAAATTGAAGTGTGTAAAAAAAGTTTTCGAACTAATTAATAAATGTAAAATAAAATAAATGATATGTTTAATTATTTACTAATTTTTTTCTTAGTGTACAATAACAATAATGATGAGAATTTTCTCAAATAATATTTTTTATAAAAAAAATACCAAAAAAAACATCTATTACACATTATTTACCCAAATAGACCTCTTTACTGGGTCAGAATTCGATTTCCGGGAAACTGAATTCTAAGCAGTGTTTTTTATTTATTTATTTTTGTGCTCAGAATTCGGTTCCCGGGGAACCGAATTTTTAGTAGTGTTTAATTTTATTTTATTTTTTCGTTTTGGGCTTAGGAATGTGTCAATTTTGCAACTAGAACGGGTCGTTCTCTAAGGAAAACGGTCCGTTCTGCTTACATTCCTTGGAGAACGGCCCGTTCTGATCCATTTGTCATGTGTATATTTTTTATTTGAAACGGGCCGTTCTGATTGCAGAATGGCCGTTCTGAATCCAATTTTTCTCTTTCTTAGAAACTAAAACGCAAAAAATAAATAAATAACACTGTTCAGAATTTGAATCCCTGACCTTGCTTTAGCGTGGATCAATCCCTACCCACACACTTAGGGTTAGTAAAGAGGTCTATTTTGGGTAAATAATGTGTAATAGATATTTTTTTGGTAATTTTTTTAAAAAAAATATTATTTCAGAAAAAAATTCATAATGATGATTCACCATAAGTCTTCACATATCTATTCCAATTTCACTGGCCTCACTCTTGTGATTCAATTACTTCATACATTTGAAACTTAGCAACTCTATATATTATTCACCATAATATATATATATATAGAGACTAAAAACTGTAACAACACCCAAAAGTGATATGTTGCACTGTGATCATAACAAGTCGGACCCAAGAAAATGAAACGGTGAACTGTTTTAATTTTTTTTAGCGGCTTGCAAATATTTTTCATATTTTTGTCTATTTTTTAATGTGTTTTTTATTTTATCTGATTTATTATTTATACAACATAATTTTAAATATTTTTAAGATGGATTAAAAAAATTTCGTTTTAATAGAAATTGCAATATAATATACAGGATACTTGATTTTTAATAGTCTATAACTATTATAATGGCATACCTGCAATTCATTTTCATTTCTTTAAAAAGAATTTACTCATTAATTAAAAAAAAATATAAACTACACTGCTATTATGTTATAACTGTATATAAAATAATTAATGTATTAATTGTATATACAAATTAATTTAAAAATAACTATACATTCTCATTTGCTACCTTTTTTTTAATTATTTATCTCTTTCATTTAATTTTTATTTTTAAAAATAAAAATTACTATGCAACCCTACAAACTGTATATAAATACGCATTTCATGTCTCTTTTCCCTTAATAATAAATAAAAAACAAAGCAATATCTTTGACTTTTAATAATGAGAGGCTACCATTTGATACAATACTAAACCGGCTTCCCATATAGATATTTTTAATTTAGTTTTTGTTACAAATTAATATCTTAGTCAACATCAATCAATATACAGTAGTTATCAAAAGCGTACTTTATCTTACTAGAAGCAAATTTTTATTAAGATATTATGATAGAAAACACCCAATACTTAAACTCATTAAGTTGCATTTTAAAGATCGTATAAAAAAGTAGTTTAATTTCAATTAACCAATCTCAAGGCTAATTAAAAAATATCTTTATTACATAATTTTGCGTTATTATACGAAAAATTATAAAAATAAAGTTTGATTATTATATAATCTTTTTATCCACTGCGCCTTCAACTTAAAGTCTTACTTTTTCTTTTTTAAATACGAATTACATGTAATCTAACATAAAAATTCGAGTTCCTTGCTAGTTAAACTATCTTTCTTAATCCTCATCAGGTCAAACCTTGAAAGTAGTCAAGTAGAGTAGAATTTCGTGATTAAATTTGAAGAGTTTAACTTTATTGCTACTAGTTTTATTTAATTAATTTAATGCAATGAATAGGAGAGAGTGAATCTGGAAGATTATGCGATGTAATAAAACTATTAATAACTAATTAACCGATTAATTTCATAATGTGGTGGTAGTAGTAGATAAGGTAACAGTGGTTGACTCAAATGATGTGGCAAAGTACTACCCTACACTAATGGGCATCAGCACCTTTCCCTTCAGATAAATAAGATTCCTTTTCCTTAGCTCAGAAAAAAGAAAGAAAAAAATAAAATCTGACGTCAGATGTGGCGGATCCCCTGCGGACAGGTGTTCACGAACTCAGTGATAAATCAAATCAGGCTTAAAACACTCATTCAAGATTTGAACCGTTCGATCTCCGTTAGACGATTGCGATTCATCGACGGTGTAGACGCGTGAAATCAGTGATTGCAGGGAATCCAGGTCTCCGAAGGTATTTATTTAATTATTTAATTTGTTGGTTCTATAGTTGTATTTGCTCTAGAGCGAAGCCGAAGCAACTGAACTGAAAAGTGAAAAGCTCAGAAACCGTTGCTCCTCTTTCTTGACTTCTTGGCGTGCTTATGATTGTGACGCAGAGAAATGGCGTCGAAGCTGAGAACGTGTTTCGTGTGTTGGAATCTGAGTGCCTTCAACTCCAATGGCAATAGGATAGTGCGCGTTTCGTTTCCTGCTTCTTGCAAAATGCGACACCGCACTCTCAGGTATCGATCGTTATTGCTTCACGTTGTTGCGTCTTATTGAGATTGAGGATTTTCAATGCGTTTTTGTGTGTGTATTGTATGCAGCAGTTCGCAGAATAGGAGACCACAGATCAAGCCTTCCGCGGAGAGAGGTCTCCCTCAGAATCAAGTTGAAGAAGGAGACACGGAGGTTTTATCGAACAATGAAGATTTCGTGGAAAGCTCGAATGATACGGCCGCTGCTTTGGTAAAATGCAACTTCTCTCTCTCTCTTTTTTCTGTGCGGTATTTTATTTCTAAATTTAGTTCCGTGAGTTGGTAAAAAAGAGGAAAAAAGAAAAAAAGAAAATAATACATTAGGAAGGAGAATTGGAGTTGCTGATGCGCGTTTGGAAGCCTTAATCGATGATGATAGAAGCTCTCTCCAATCAAACGTACCCAAGCTATGAACTGTAGTACAAAAATTTACCCTTCTTTAATGTTTGTTCGCTTAAAACTTCTGCTAGATTATTCCAATTTCAATAGGAAAGGTTGTTAGGGTCTAATTGAGTTAAATTTTCAAAAAGCACTTCTAAGGGAGAAAAGTTGAAAGGAAAAATGAAATAAAATAAGCTTTTCCACAAGGTAAAATTAGTTTAAGCATAAGCTAATTTGTAGGAGTTATCTCCTATTAGCTTCTTTAAAATCTTATTTATAACTTATGTATAAGTTAGCTTTAGCTTATGAAGAAGATTATTTTAGTTTTCTTATATTTTTTCTCCTAGAAGTAATTTTGGAAAAGTTTATCCAAACAAACCTTAGTAGTCTACTTGACTTTACAATGCATACATAAAAATTAAGGAAGAGAGCAAAGCAGAGTGATACCTTTAGAGGGAATGACCAAAGAACAAGATGTGTTTGGATTTCAATCAGGAGAAAGACCAACATACTTGAGCTTTTAATGTAGCTGACTCTTCAATTTTTCCTAACTCTGACTTAATTTCTTTCATTATTTTAGAGATTTCATTTGATTTTTGTTGCTCTGGTATTTTTCTACATGTATGATTTTCTTTGTATTGATATTGGTTGATGAATTGATTATTCACTTTGCAATATTCTTCACGTTCTGATGATGCTTTTGTTTCTATTTGCATTTAATGATAAACAAACTTGCACTATACTACAATAATAGGGATATGAATGTTTTCTTGCACATATATCATTACAACACAATATGCATATCATGAATCTCAACCATTTTTTTTCGTAGTTAGATGTGGACCAGTGTATCACTTTTCTATCATAATATTACAATATAAAGTGCAAAATTTAGACACGAGACCTTTACCGGCCCACATTACTTGGTGCAAATTTTGCTGCATGGTCTGTTCAGTATTAAAGGGTGGACAGACCAGTCATTTTGTTACATGGATATACTTAGCAAAGAAAATTGGAGAGGTTAAAGCATAAGTTTTTGGTTATCAGTTACAAATAATCATTTAATTATGAAATAGGCCACAAACATAAATGGAGCAGAGCAGGCTGAACAGTTGTCTAGTAGGCAACTTGAGGATTTGCTGGGCATGATAAGAAATGCAGAGAAAAGTAAGATATCTTTCGGGAATACTTGTGGATTTCTTTTTCTCATATCCTTATTTTTTGTTCAATATATTGTTACCTATTAATACTAATAATTTTATATTCTTCATGCAGACATTCTTCTTTTAAATCAGGCTAGAGTTCGTGCACTTGAAGATCTTGAAAAGATTCTTACTGAAAAGGAAGCATTGCAAGGAGAAATCAATGTCTTAGAGATGAGGTTGGCTGAGACTGATGCACGGATTAAAGTTGCCACCCAGGAAAAGATACATGTGGAACTCTTGGAGGGGCAGTTGGAGAAACTGCGTAATGAGTTGGCTCAAAAAGAAAGTACTGAAGGAAAATATGTTGAATCACTTGATCTTCAAAATGGAGATTCGAGTGATGCAAACCCTCTAAGTAATAAAGATAGCATTCATTCCCTTACCGAGGAGCTTAATTCATTAAGGGCAGAAAATGCCTATTTGAAGAAGGCCATAGAATCATTTAAAACACAAATTATTGATGTCAAGAATAATGATGAACGTTTGGTGGTATTGGAAAAAGAACGGTCATCTTTGGAATCAGCCCTAAAAGACTTGCAATCAAAACTATCAATATCTCAGGATGATGTATCAAAACTTTCTTCACTTACAGATGAATGCAAGGATTTATGGGATAAGGTTGAAAATTTGCAATCATTGCTAGATAAAGCAACCAAACAAGCTGATCAAGCTATTATTGTGCTGCAACAAAACCAGGATCTTCGAAAGAAGGTTGATAAATTGGAAGCATCTCTTGAAGAAGCTAATATCTATAAGCTATCGTCTGATAAATTGCAAAATTATAATGAACTAATGCAGCAAAAGATAAAACTATTGGAGGACCGTCTTCAAAAATCTGATGAAGAGATAAATTCTTATGTTCAGCTATATCAACAATCGGTGAAGGAATTTCAAGATACACTTGCTACTCTTAAAGAAGAAAGCAAGAAAAGGAAAGTGGATGAACCAGTGGAAGATATGCCATGGGAATTTTGGAGTCAACTGTTACTTCTAATTGATGGTTGGGCAATAGAAAAGAAAATATCAGTAGATGATGCAAGTCTTTTGAGAGAAAAGGTATGGAGGAGAGACAGGCGTATTAGTGATACATATATGGCTTGCAAAAAACAGAGTGAAGATGAAACTATTTCTGCATTTCTCAGGCTTTTATCATCTAAAACAAGGTATTAATTTTTAATGCTAGATTTCAATTTTTATAACTTCCATTGTCTAATGTATCCCATATTTTTTATTTATAGTCCAGGATTACACGTGATTCATATTGCAGCAGAGATGGCACCAGTAGCTAAGGTGCACTCACTGTATCCTTATCCCTACATTTTATTCTTTTGAACTCATTTTATCTTATCCCTTACTTCGTCCATAGTCCCTACTAAAATACAAGTGAAAACAAAAAAAATAAAATAAAATTGATTCACACTAATTACGAAAATTAGTTAGCATCTATTGGAAAAAAATTCACGTCTTGCATCGACTAAAAATACGGTCAATGAAGAGTATATAAGTGGTGGACAACTCACCTTACAAATTAGTTTTGGAAGGTTGAATTAAGTCCAAATCTACTTTCTAAGATGGTATTAAAACTATCTTAGATCTCCTAGAAGGGCCACCCTCCAGTTATACTAGTATCAAGTTCAATAATTTTGGGTGTGAGGGGATGTATTGAGAAAAAAAACCAAATCCCACATCGTAAAGTTAGTTAAGTTTTGCTTATATTTTAGTTCACCAAACATGGGTTTTTTGTTGTTTATATTTCAATCTGGAGGCAGTTTGTTTTTAACTCTTTCATCATGGTCACCCCCCTTACAATGTGCTTGTTAACTGTTATAACATTTACTGGAATCTTAAAGAGGCATGACAAAAGCATCTTAATTCACGTAAAGTAGGGGAGTACTGGGTATGAATTCTCTATGGAAATAAATTCTTAGACGTCCTCAAAATGCAGTCTCTCATATCTTCTTTTTTACCTCTCTTGTCAATTGTTGAAATCTCTTTTGGAAAATAAGTAGCATACAGTTAATAGAGTCTTTTGTCATAGCATCCTGATTATCCTGTCATTCCAAGATATTAGTTCCTATTGCTGTATTTTACTCTCAGATGGACTAGTTCTTTTGGCCTGAATTGAGTATTTTGTCCTGATGGAATCTGTGAGTATTCCTTCAACTTAAAGTTAACACGATTAAGAAGCTGTTTAAATAGTGCCAACCAAGAAGCTCTCTGGATGGTGCCAGATCCTTTGCTTCCAGCTAATCTGTTTTTTGTATTGCATACTAATATTTAAATTTAGTTATTTCTGTGACAGGTTGGTGGTTTGGGGGATGTTGTCAGTGGTCTAGGTAAAGCACTGCAAAAGAAAGGACACCTTGTTGAAATTGTGCTTCCCAAATACGATTGTATGCAATATGATCGTGTTCATGACTTACGGGTATTCTAATTTATTAAGAAAAAAATCAAACATGTTGATACAGTCTTGGTAGTTGGTATGTTGCACTACTAGTAATGATTTGATTATTCTTTCAGGAACTGGATGTGTTGATAAGTTCATACTTTGATCGTCAATTATACAAAAGTAAAATCTGGATTGGCACTGTTGAAGGTGAACAATTAAATATTTTCATTTTAATTTATTGTCTTTATCTGGCTTAGTAACTTTACTTTGACTATGCAGGCCTTCCTGTTTATTTCATTGAGCCTTATCATCCTGATAAGTTCTTCTGGAGAGGAAAGTTTTATGGCGAGCATGATGATTTCAGACGATTTACATTTTTTAGCCGTGCAGCTCTCGAGTTTCTTCTTCAAGCTGGCAAGAAGCCAGATATCATTCATTGTCATGATTGGCAGACAGCATTTATTGTATGAGCTGTCTAATTCTTTCTATCAAATTTTTGCTCTTTGAGCAGCTTAAAGAATAGCATTTTGTGTTTCTTTGCTAGGCTCCTCTGTACTGGGATATATATGCCCCAAAAGGATTAAATTCAGCTAGGATATGCTTTACATGCCATAACTTTGAGTATCAAGGGACTGCAGCAGCTTCAGAGCTAGAATCATGTGGTCTTGATAGCCACCAACAAAACAGACATGACAGAATGCAGGATAACTCATCACATGAACGAGTTAATTCTGTCAAGGTATGGGAATAAAATTATTATGTATCATATTATATATCATCAGAAAATATAAGTAATAGTTTTGCCTTCCAATGGTCAGGGTGGAATTGTCTTCTCAAACATTGTGACAACAGTTTCACCTACTTATGCCCAAGAAGTGAGAACTCCAGAGGTGTGGTTTATTTCTTGTTCTTGTGCATATTTTGTATTTCCTGTTTTTTTCAAAATATCCTTTTTTTATTCAATAAATATGAATAGTAAGACAAGAAAACAATTTGGAACAAGCATTAGATCAACTGGGAATAACATCTCCAATGACTGTCTATTTTATTCTCCTTTCTAAAGAGAACTGATAGATTGGAAAAAGCATTGTTAGAGATATAAAACAATTCAGATGCCTCCGCATAAAGGTTTTCAGGAGAGTTGGTCCTTGTCATGATATTTGAGTCTTTATGAACAAGTGATTAAGAATTTGACTTTTGCTACTTCTATATTTCCAATCGAACAATAATTCCAGCACTATTTTCTTTTTTCTTTAATTTAAAAACCTGCACGAGGTTTGAGGGGGCTTGTCGTTTTTCCATGTTTCAAGAGCAAATGGATTTCAAGTGATGGTGTTTTATAGATTTAAAACCATTCATGCGCTCTACCTAACAACTTAAACTTTTGTAACAAGAATAAAAGGGCTCTGCTTCTTATAATAACGAAGGATTCTTGTCTATGTCTTTGTATCATTATTTGAAATTTGATATTGTTACATGTATAATAGGAGAGCGAACTAAAATATCTGATTTGATTTGCAAATTGGCATAGCTTGGAAATGATTAGCGGTTGATTTTTGTATTTGGCTGTTTATATACTAAGAAAACAATGGAGACACACTCTATGCATTCTCAATGCTTTTAAACTTTAAACTGTTGCTTAAGCAGTCTTCCTAATCTTTCAAATCTAAAAAAGTTGTTCCCGTGAATTATATTATTGTACAAAGTGCAGGGAGGACATGGTCTCCATTCAATACTCGCTACCCACACCAAAAAGTTCATTGGTATTCTTAATGGTATTGATACTGATGCATGGAATCCTTCCACTGATGCATTTCTTCCAGTCCAGTACAGTGCAACTGATCTTCAAGGAAAAACAGAGAATAAGCAAGCCTTGAGAAGGAACCTAGGTCTCTCATCAGCAGATGTTAGGAGGCCATTGGTAATGTCCTAAATTTAAAGGAGAATTTATTTGATAGAATAAATCATGGTTTGCTCTTTTATGCTCTCTCTCTCTCTCTCTCTCTCTCTCTCTTTCAATTGACACTTTTTATCTGTCACAACTCACAAGTCTTAAAGATTCCTACTTCATTATGTATGATTAGTCTAGGGCTAACTGCACTTGTGTGCTTTATGTAACATTTGAAATAAAGATACCATGACCCTTTAAAATAGCTTTATCTTGTGGAATCTATCTGTAGAAATTAATTATAGAATGTAAAGATGAGGAGAATGGTTAATTTCTGTACCTGCCGTTATTCTTTCTAGATAACTATAGCTTGACCCAACGGAAACTTGGTATTAATACTCCGTAAATGATTTTTCATAAAATTAAAAAATACCCAATTTCTAATCCAATCTATTGCCTGCTGGCTTTCATATGAGTAAATCTATTACTATGCATGATTTAATGACAAATGTAAAAAAGTATCCAAGTTGCAGGATGGAGAAATCAAACTTCCATGCTACTATAAAATCAACCAAAAGGGGGTATTTAACTCCATATCAAATATGTACATGACACCCATCTAAAGTTATAGAATGTTGATTACTGCCTAAATTTACAAGAAAAATTAACCAGAATTGCAATGAATTTTTCAGAATTAATAGTCAAGTGCCTGATGGAATTTGTTGCAATCAGTTTTCAGATTCATGTATGTTAAAGAGGGAAAAATAGAGACATATTTGGGGTAAAACAATGTGTTCGATGCACAACAAATGCAAGTTTATATAGGCTTATTATATTAATTATATATAAATAGAGGATATTTTGTTTCCTCTGAATCTGATGCTATGTGCTTATAAACTACTATTTTGATAATAAATAAATAATATCTTATTTTGATTTTCAACATTCCCTCTCAAGTTGAGCATATCAATCATATGCATCCAACTTGTTACATATATAGCTAATTCTGAGTCCTCTCGAGGACTTGGTGAAAACATTGATCACTAGAGTTGACGAAGCTTACAATAATGTCTCTGAACTCAATCTTCTCTATGATGAAATGAAAACCAACCTCAATGTTTGGTCCTTTCATGAAAAGACTGGATTAGAGGCAATATGTAAAGCTAGTTGATTGTCACAGTTGAGCTTCATTGTGTAGTCTTTTCAAACTTGACCTCTCTAGGAAGTTGTTTCAGCCATGAGTTCACAAGTAACTAGAGCCATAGCCTTGTATTCTACTTCAACACTTGATCTTGCTACAACATTTTTCTTCTCACTGTTTCAAGATACCAAGTTTCCTCCAATCAGCACACAATACCCAAAAGTGGGTTGCCTATCACTAGGGGTGAACTAGCCCAATCGACATCTGAATAGCCAACTAACAGAGCATGCCCCCTGTCTTCATAAATGTGGCCTTTGCCTAGGGACTCTTAATGTATTTCAGTATTCAAATTACTGCATTTCAATGGTCCTGGCAAGGAGAATTTAAGAATTGACTCACCACACTTGGTGCAAATATAATATGTGGACGAGTGATAGTGAGATATTTCAACTTTCCAACTAACCTCCTATATCTCCCAGGATTCAATTAAGGACCCCCCTGATTGGGTAGCAATTTGATATTGGGATCCATAGGGGTGTCCATGGGCTTGACATTCAATAGGTGTCAAGAGCATATTTCTGCTGAGAGATTACTGAACTGTCCTTGGATTGAGCAACTTTGATACCTAGAAAATATTGAAGTTTACCAAGGTCTTTAGTTTGGAATTGGCGTGAGAGGTATCGCTTCAAGTTGAGAATACCATGTTGATCACTGCCTATATTGACAATATCATTCACATAGACAATGAGATGTATACATCATTGAGGTGAATGCCGATAAAAGATAGAGTGGTCAGTTTCATTGTGAATCATACCAAATTGCTGCACAACAATACAAAATTGGCCAAACCATGCTCAAGTGGATTGTTTAAGTCCATATAGTAACCTATGAAGATGATAGACCATAATAGAGGATTCCCCTTGAGCAATAAAACCTGGTGGTTGCTCCACGCAGATTTCCTTGTGAAGACATATTTGGAGAAAAATTGTGTGTCTAAATGCACAACAGATGCAATAAATAGAGGATATTTGGTTTCCTCTAAATCAGATACTATGTGCCTATAAACTGCCATTATGACAAAAAATATAGAATATCATATTCTAATATTGAAAATGTACATAGCAATTCTTGTACCTAGGGTATATGATGTGCTTAGGAACTGGAATCATGATTAATCTCCTTGTAAACACATTGTAATTATTGCTAAAGTGTGCATAAATGCTAGAGCTGCTGAATGTCAAGCATTCTGTATCTCCAACTGAATCTACTTCCTATTCTAATTAGTGCCTTTGTTCTTGATTTGTTATAAACAACCACCCACAATTTTTTTATGTAAAGAGGAAGGAAAAAAAGAAGAAAAAGAAACAAATCGTGAAATCCGTATGTTTGAACAGGCTGTATTATAGAGTGAATGTAATAATCATTACATGTTTCATGAATATCCTAATTATCATAATTACAAGTTTTGGTTAGCTTAGCTTATTTACATTATTTCCATATTTTTGAACACACCCTCTGAAACCAACCCATATACACTGAGCTTGTTACATAATTGATATGATATATAACTTAACAGAGGACCTCTCAAAGGAAAATCACTAACCCCGAGCCCCTTTAATGTATTTTAGGATACATTGAGCTTGTTACATATATTATTATATATAACTTATCGGTAGGATCTCTCAAAGGCAAATCACTATACAATATACACCAAGCCACTTTAATGTATTTTAGGATACAAATGAGTACAACCCCAATATCTTTTACCAAGTGAGTTGAGGAATTGCCTTGCCAAACTAATGGCAAATAAGATGTTAGGATAAGAAACTTTGAGGTAGTTCAATATCCCTACTAACCTTTTGAATCTTTTTTGACCAAAATGGTCTCCCCCTAAATTATAAGAATTTAGGATTTGGATCAAAAGAGTGTCAACCAACGTTGAATTTAGAAAACTAGTTTCATCAAGAATGTCCATGGCATACTTCCTATGTAAAATTACGATAGCATACTTGGATTGTTCCACTTCTATTTCCAAGTATTTACAAGATCTTTGGCTAATAGTCATGATGATGTTATCCTTGAAAGATTCCTTCATGATCATTACCAACGAGGCAATGTTAACAATGTGTGTATATATATATATTTTTTATTTATTTATTTATTATTATTATTTTATTTTTAAATTTTTTCTTTCTTTCTTTGTTTCTGAAAAACTAAACAAATAAAAAAATTAACTTACACTCCATCTTCAACCGAACAACCTCTATTTTCACTTTACTTCTTATCTATTTCTCTTCTCTCACTTCTTTCCTACCTATTTCTTCTCTCTCTATTTCGACACTCTACCAAACAAATCATTAAGGTAAATGGCAGTAGAATAAAAGTGGTCAAGCTTCACTTGTGTCATACTAAACTACTAAACTGTAGTGTAGGTCAAACCAAGCTCAAGGAGGTTGTTTGAGGCAATACAAAAACTTGTGGAGGTGACAAACCAATCCAGAAGACTTCTCCCTTGGAGCAGATACTAAGGGTTGCTCCATATAAGACTGCTTTTGTGAGATCATCACAGAGGAAATCTTTTTTTATATCCGGTTAATGAAGGGAAAGTGGCAAATGAAAACCATAAACCCTTAAAGAAAAATAAGGCAAATGAAAACCATTTTTGCTACTGCTGAGGTGTCCTTATTTTCTTGGCCAAAATTTTGGTTTAGCCACCAAATGAACCTTACTCATCAATTCCACCAGCCTTTCCAAATTTTCCACCCTTCGAGTCCATCTTTGTCAATGGCATCCAGCTGGCTGGACCAATTGTTGGATTCAAGTTTTCCACCCTTTCCTAAAACTGTATTCTGAATAAATAATAGAAATAATCTAGTTTTAGGATCAAGTTTGAGTATCAACATCAATAAAAGCAGGGTTTCCACTAAACAAGGAGTTTCCTTCTTTAAAACACTGGAAAAAATAACCTAACACCTTAATTAGTCTTCTACAAGTTTGTCTCAATATTTATATATCACTATAACTGTCACACCGTAACATAAAATTGTCTAATCCAAAATTAATATAAAATAATTTCCCAAATCTGAACTTGGTGTATCAGTGATACATTGACTCATTTAACATATGATTCATGAACTGCGCATAATTTTAACATATTTGATTAATTTTTTAAATTCTTTGACTTGTAAGTTAACGGCCTTATGTGTTGATTTACAGCATCATTATATGCTTGCTTGATACGTATCTTTCATACATATGGAGAAACAATGCTCTTTATCTTGAATTTTCAAATTATATGTTACTCATTTAATTGTTAATAATTTATTACTTATTTTTTAAATTGAAGACGCTTTATTGATTGAATGTTTCTATTATCTTCTTTGATAGGTTGGCTGTATAACAAGATTGGTTCCACAAAAAGGTGTTCATCTTATTAGACATGCGATATTTCTAACATTGGAGTTGGGAGGACAATTTGTTCTACTTGGTTCAAGTCCAGTGCCACATATTCAGGTCGTATTTTCTTTCCTTGTGGCAGAAATTTATTGGTATTCTATTGTTTTTTAGAAAGAAGACAGATCAAACAGTATAGAATAAGAAGATAGTCATTAAAATGGCATCTCACGTGCAATATAGGTGGAATTCATTCTCAACCAAAAAAGAAAACAGCTTTTACATTGGCATATGTTTCAGTGAAATAAAATAATCACAACCGATTCTAATCACTTTGTTGGGAAAGCATAATTAAAAGAAAAGACTAGTAGCAATATTATCTTTTTTTATTGTTTGGACAAGCCCTAATATCGTCTTAGAATTTGATATTAGAGCTTAACTCAATCCCACTAAATCGGGTTGAAAAGTGAGGACTGTGGACGGCCCAAGCCTAGTAAAGACTACATTGGCTATATTACTTGATCATATGAGATCTCAAAAGAATGTATGACTGTTTACTATTCTGATAGCGTGTACCTAAAAGCTATTTTATATTTGCAAAGTAAGTTGTATTGATTAGTGTTCTGAATACTGGAACAACTGGATCGATTAGAAAACCGACGAATTTATTTAGTTTGGTCCAAATAAACCAGAAAACCAGCCTTGAAAAAAATCGATCAAAGGACTGAAAAACCAGTAAAAAAAACCAGTTCATAGTGGGCTAATGAAAAATGCTTAATACAACATTGTTTTGATTTTTTCCTTGAACAAATGAAAAGTCAACCTAAAGTGTTTGTCATTTCCTTTTTTATTCTATATCTATAACTTGTTATTGTTAGTGTACATTATAATTAACTATATATGCATGTGTATAACACACTTATATGCTGCTATTGATTAATGTGGGTGGAGAGAAAGCCAGATAGTTATGTGAAAAGGAAGATTGCTGAGTTCTTTTTTTAAGAAATAGAAGTTTTAGATGTAGGCTGTTAAGGGTGAAGGATGATTTTTTTCCTGCCGATTCATTCTATATATTTTGTCAACTGATTACCAGTTTTCTCTTCTCTAGAAAGAATTTGAGGGCATTGCCAACAGCTTTCAGAATCATGATAACGTAAGGTTGATATTGAAGTATGATGAATCTCTCTCCCATGCCATTTATGCTGCATCTGACATGTTCATCATTCCATCTATCTTTGAACCTTGTGGCCTAACACAGGTAATTGTCAATTGGCTGTTCATGAATTTCAAATATTAAGGAATCGGCAGAAAAAGACATCATAGAATAATATGGTTAAAGCAGATATATGCTCAATTCTTTTCATAATACATGTATCTTCATGGTAAAAAAATTGTTTCAATATTTTGTAGAAAACTGTATTTTGACTATGGAGGCTTATATATTTGTTAGTTGTTACTCAACTAATAGCTGATATTCATTCAGTCAAACTCAATCCATTATTAGGCATGCCAAATTCCATTTCTGCACTTAAATAAAGTAAGGTGAGAAAGAATCCGACAGGACTATAGATGGTCCTACAAGCAAATTAAGGGCAGACATAAGGAAAGGGCTAGATTCAGATTTGGGAAACAAGACCTGTGCTATCTGAGGTCAGAGAGCAAGATAAATGTGGAGATAAAAAGGCTTTGGGGCATGAAGTGGGAAAAGGGATAGTTGATTTGGATCATTAAATCTAAGAGATCTATTATGGACATAGATAAGGATGCAGCCTAAATACATAATTGGCCCCTTGAACATGTTAAATATTATTTTTTCCTAGGGATCAATGACGATTGACGAGAAATGACCATAGTAAGGCTCTGAGATAAGAATAATGATGGCTAACAGTAAACTGAAAGAAATACGGAAATGAGGGCATTAGATCATTGGATTTGGACTACATAATGATGAGGGATCAAAATGACTTGGCCTTTGCATATTGGAATTTCTCTTCTAGGTTTAATTACGATTTTGGCCCTTAAAATTATTTGTTTAGAATGTTACTCCTAATATTTTCACTCATTTGGTATTTGGTCTCTGGAACAAATACCTTATCTGAAAACTATAAGGACTAATCCTTCCAAAAAAAAAAAATAAGGACCAATATCTTAATGAGCAAAAACTTTAGGTTCTAAATCCCAAATCACAGAAAATTATAGGGACTTATACCATAAATAGTACTATAGTAGGGACCAAAACTTAAATGGATGGAAATTATAGCTTTAAAACCTTATTTAGAGCTTTTCTTTTATCAACTTTTAGTAATTTTTTGTTTGCTTCAAACATAAAAATAACTAGGATAAGTGTTCCATGGAAATGGAATGAGCAATGGGATAGGTTCCTGCTATTACCTAAAATATTAGGATAACAGATATGGCACAGTTTGACATAACTCAAACACACATGACACACATAACATCAAATAGTTGATAAAAGAGTTAATGTTTTCAGCATCAATCATTTCAGATACAATTAAATAAAAAAAAAATAGTAAAACATGAACGTTATGATATTTTACTTGAATTGGCACAACCATTTCAAAAAAAATTAAAAAAAAATAATAAAAAAAAAGGAGGAGGAGGAGGAGAATTCAAGCAATGAAATCTGATGGTCTGTCAGGAGTGTATTCAACATCATATGATAGACATTCATGCTTCCTATTTATTGTTAAAAGGAGTACTAGTATCATATTCTCTAACACTACTTCTAATACCTACTTTATAATTAGTTAAAATTTATTGAAAACTATAAAAGAATCATAAGAAAGATTTGTTAAATAAGAAGCGAGACTCACAAAAATTTGTGATTTTCTATAAATTTCAGTCAATAGTAGAGAATAAGTTCAAAAAGTGTCAGAAAGTGTTTGTGAAAACCTTGAGATGTGAACATATTACTTAATCCTACACCTTTAGCCTATGTTTGGTAGAGGTGATTTAATAGAGAGGGGGATGGATTAGAGTGGATTTGAAAAAAAATATTTGTGTTTGGTAGAGGATATTTAAGGAAAATTGTGAGGAATTAGAAGTGAGTCTCACATCACTTTTTATACCCTCTCCATTGAGGGGATTCTTGTGGAATTTGGGAAATGTGTAAAATTACATAATGTATAAAATATCAAATCAAACTATATTATAAAGTGAGGATAAAATAATAATTGTAAATACTAATTTTATTCCATTTCTCACTTAATTTCACTCTACTAAACAAATAGAAATTTCATTCTCTTCCACTCTATTTCTTACCTATTTCCTATCAAATCAATTATCACCTACTCTTCTATTCCTTCCTCTCCCCCAAACAAAGCATTAGTGTCCTCATGAATGACCTATATGCTGAATTACTACTTTATAGTGTTTTACTATTATAACTACTCTCTCTTCCCAATTATGTTTCTTTTATCTCAGTTTCCTAATATCTTCCCTGCAGATGATATCAATGAGATATGGTGGCATACCTATTGCAAGAAAAACTGGTGGCCTCAATGACAGGTTAACATGGCATGCATGACATGATATGGCATGAAAAGCATTGTTCTTGTTTTCGGAAGAATAATTAAATTCTGTCTCATTTTGTAGTGTGTTTGATGTTGATGATGATACAATACCTTCACAGTTTCGAAATGGATTTACATTTGTGAATGCCGACGAGCAGGTAACAAACAGTAAAATATCACGTTATTGCAGTCCTGCATCATAGATACTGTCATGTTATTTAGAATAGAAACGGTTACCTCTAAACTTTACCTTCCCCTCCTTTCAGCATTCTCATCTGCTAGAGCATTATTTTATGTTCACTGTTCTAGCCAACTCTGATGATACAATTTTGACAGGGATTATCCGATGCTCTGGTACGAGCATTAAATCTCTTCAAGAACAATCCTGAGAGTTGGAAGCAACTTGTTCAGAAGGTCATGAACATAGATTTCAGCTGGGAATCATCATCAGCACAATATGAGGATCTCTACATAAAGTCTGTGACTAGAGCAAGGGCAGCAAAACGTGCTTAATTGTGTATAAGAAGGCTTCCCTCTGCAATGGTTCAATTTTGTCACTTTTTCTACATAGAGATGAGAGGTCAGAGTTAAAGATAAATTGGCAGAATTTAACTGAGCATACCAGCCATGCAAGAACATCTCAGATTTGGGAATGAAATATCAATGGATGCTGAAAATATGCTGCAAGTTCCATGCCTCATCTCGCAGATACTCCTTTTTTTTTTTTTTTGAAATGGGGATTGATCACGGAAGAAATCTCTCTCATATACTTCGATGAATTCTAGGTGATATTTCAACTTTACTATGCCTTGCAACGTTGTGTAGTTTTTTTTTTTCTTCTATTATTAGGGCTATTCTTCTCTTCTTTTTTTTCTTTCTTTTTTTTAATATTTCAACAGTATACAAAGGTCATACATGTAAATCGTTACAACTTAGTTCCCTACCCAAAAAAAAATGTATAATGTAAATCAGATATTAAACAAAAAAAATAAAATTCACTGCTTGTAGCATTTTCCTTCCAGAAGCATGTTATTATTTTGGAAAAATGCATGGAAGCTCGTTATATTGGTGACTATCGCTCACATTTGTTATGAATTAAACAAAAGAAGACCTCGATCCAAAAAACTAATTTGGTGGGAGACTCAAATACTACATCAATTTTTTATTTTTTTTACTTGACTTGTAACATATTGACAATGCTAGCTCTCTTAAAAGTTAAAATCCATATACTTCACCCTATCAACGTTATCGGTTAGTTGCCTTTTTCCCTTATTTTGACAATTTCACTTATCTATCGTTACTTAGCATATCAGTCCTTAATTCAGCATATAGTAAATTTTTATATAACTCAATGAAAGCCAATTGTTATTGATATTCAAGTTAATTACGCTCTTTTTCATATCACATTATTATGTTGAATTTTGAAGAAATAAAGAACTTAATAAATAAATAAATAATAATAAATAAAAATAAAAATAAGTTAAGAAATATAATATTTTTAAAGATAAAAAATCGGCCAAAATTGATTGAAAAAAATGATGTGCACCTATACTGAATTTTGTATTATAAATTATAAATAGATAACAAATTAAGAAATATTTATATCCTAATTTTATATAAAATAACAGTTTTCATTATATATAAACAAATAATTCAACAATCCGTGTATACTATAGCGCGAAAGGATAATTAGTTGTGCACAATTCGGTAAATATTTCCCACTTTCTAATACAACAAAGTAAAGACAAAATTTAAACTAAACAATATTTCAATTTAAAATCAAACCAATTAAAAGATAAAATAAATAAAATCTATAAACATTCGTAATCAAGCTTTTTGCTCAATTGATACTGGCTTACGTGGTTCGTTCCTCAACTAGGCCCTGTCCCTCCCCTCCCTTACCCAGGCAAGATGGTTACACGTTCTACGTTTTACCAATATTATAGAAATTGCAAGCTTCATTTTCTCGTATCTGAATCAAGCTCTAATACAATATGAAAACATGGGAGCACGTGAAAATGACAGAATCTAATTGACTCAATCAGTTCATGCAGAGTGAAATCTAATTAATAGTAACGGAAGTAGAGATAGGAATATAAACGCGCACAATAATCTGTCATAATCAATAGCATTACTTGTTACACTGGACAATCCACAGTTCAACATGATAGAAGTTGAACAAGCATTACACTACAATCATGTATCATAAAAACCAACTTATGGAAGTAAAAATCTAAACCTAGCGGCCTCAGAATCCTTGCAAAATATAGGAATTATGTCCCTAAAGCAACACCAAAGAGTTATATATAGGAATCCAAGTAGCACTATGAGTCTGGCTCAGGTGAACCACCAGGAACTAACTGCATTATATCAGATTTTGTTGTTATCAGTATAACACTTGCGAGAGAAAACTGAAAATCATGTTAGATTATTGTCGACACTTTCTAAACTTGCCAAATCAAATGATTTATTAATAGAGTAATACTCCAAAGAAATCAAGTAAACAAAAAATAATTGCATATTGACTTACAATGGCAATGTTGTTTCCATTGAGTAAAATCTGATCGAGCTTGGTTATCCGTCTCCCTTCAGCAGTGATCTCACTGTTGTATGAATATGAAAGCAACAAACCAAATCAATTTATTACATGCCCAAAGCAAACACATGTACGTGCATACCGAAACATACGAATCAGCGAATCAAAAGCTAACATAAATCATGCAGACACTAAAAGTCCTCTGTATGTACAAATTCAAATAATCAAGTTGATAATCAAAAAGCTGCAAAGATCCTCCAACAAATTTACACCAGATATTTCATTCTTAAACCAAAAAGAAAGAGCCCAATGGGAAAGCTAAATAAGGTTATTTTTATGCTACACAAGAGCAAAAAAATAACATACCAAAAAGAAACTGATAAATAAAAACATCATAATCCAGGTTAGATCATTATATTTGCAGCCATTAGATTTCTCAGTAACTTCATAATGATAAAACTGCCAAAACTATTTTTTAACTGGCCTTCCTAAAAGACAAATGTAAAATGAAGCGAAAACAATATTGGACTCAATAACGTTATTGCTCCAACACCACACCAATTAAAAGTTAGAGATATAAACACTTCCTTCAAAAAGAAAAGTTGGGGGAGGAACAGAACCATAAATTATCAAAAGATGACAACATAACAACTCCAGATAGAATAGTATTTTAAAAATCAGGGGGCATCTTTTCTTATTCATGCAAAAAAACAATTCCATCCCTCAAACCGAAACCCACAGCAATCTCAAGGAGTTTCCTCTTGAGTAAAACCCTAATGCAATATTGTAACAGAACAAAATCCAATATCAGAACAAAAAGAAGAGTGACACGCCACAGTGCAAGTGTTGCTCACTATTCAGTAACATCTTCAAGGACCATGTTGACATAAACATCAAAGCCTCTAAGAGTGCCAACAAGCTCCTTGTCACCCTTCATTATCACCCATATTTTTGATCCTATGCACCGGTCGATCAATTCTGCAAATTTCCACCACAATTCTATTAAACACAATTCAATGCTACACTGAACTCATTGCCAACAAAAAACAAAATAATGAAATCAGAAACCTGATGGGAGAAGCTGCGACGGGTTGTTTGCCATGGAAAATTAATCGCCGAATATCTCTAAAACCTGCGGCGGATACAAAAAATTAAAATACTAGAGTTAGGGTTTTTTGTTTATCCGACTGACTGAAACAAATGTCGCAAAAAGAATTTTTTTTTTATCAGAACTCACAAGTTTGTTTGGAAGAAAATGTTTGGGTATGTGAATCTGTGCGGAGAAGAGATGCAGCGACTGAGAGAAGTTAGAAGAAAGCTTGACCTAGCGCCGGTTAGGTTTGATTTAAATCAATTTCACTCGCCCCCAATTTTCATGTTAAATTTATCCAAACATACGAACACCCACTTAAAAAAAAATTAATAATAGTTTTTAGCCCTTTATCTAATTTTTTTAAGACTAATTTTGGTTCTTCAGTTAAAATATTTATTTAAATTTTTTCTCTTTTATATTTAAATTAATTTAATTTTTAAAATAATAATTATTTCTATTTTTATAATATAATTTTAAATTAATTTTCAATTGATTCAACATATTAATCTTATAATAATTAGATGAGTATAATGATCTATTAAAAAGTAGAGATCAAAAGTGATTATAGATACTCAATATCTCTTTATAATAAGTATAGATTAATAGATTATAATAAGTATAGATATATCCACTTATACAAAAATTATAAAATATAATTGGAATTTGACTTTAAAAAAGCTATAAACATAATAAAATTTGTATGAGAATATCTCCTATGTAACTAAAAAAATAATATAAAATTAATTTTTTAAAGTTTTTGACTACTTTATTTACTTATTTTTATACCATTCTCACCATATTCATTATTTATGACACTTTTTTATTTTAATTTCAATTATATTTAATAATATTATATAATAAATAAATATAATAAAGTAACTTTCAAGTCTTCAATTATTAAAAAAAATGATTTGTGTCTTAAAATTAAAAATAATTATTATTTTAAAAAGACGAAATGAATTCAACTTTAAGAAATAAAGCCTATTAAAAATAAACATTTTAAAAGATAAGTGATAAAAAAATAATTTTAAATATATTAATATAATATTATATTAACTTTCATTATTTAATTAATCATTAAAAATATTTTAGGATATTAATTAAGAACTTTTATTAATATTTTTGGATTGAGGTCGTTACATAGTTCAATTTGAATAATTGTTTAGTTTTGAATAGTGTGAAAAGAGAATTAAGATTAGCAAAATTTAAATAGTTATTTTCAAGTCCAAAGAAAATAAGCAAAATTATTGATAATAATTAGTTATACATTAATATGTAGAACTCAAGTTTCAAACATATTACATGATTGTAGGTTAGACTTGTCACCTCATCTCATCTATTTGTTACAAGCTTATCACCTGGCTAAGACTACCGAATTAGTAAGTTAGTGTGGGTTAGACCTGTCAGCCCTCTCCACTATTTTGGTGAGTTAGGTAGATTGACTTGTCAAGCTTAAAACTTTTTTGTTATTCCTATTCACAAGTTGAGTCCATTTTTTCTTTTTCTTTCCTAAATATATAGTATTGTTCAAGCCATCATATATAATAATATTAATTTGACAAACTTTTAAAAATTAATCATTTCTTTAAAATAATATTTTTTTTCTTTTTTGCTTTCAACCTGAACAAGTGCAAAAAAAAAACACATATTACAATACTTTTCTATGTCAATTGTGTTACAATGATAAAAGATATTTCAGAAATTTATTTGTGAATTATATTGAGCTTAGTTGATCAACATGTGAGATTAATGTTGATATATTAATTGTATTTTGTATTAATAGATTTAATTGAGTTTAATTCTTAATTCTTAATTTTTTTTTATTTTCACTTATTTTGATGTTGATGTGTTGTACATAGTATGTATATCAATATCTATAGACATCGAAACTTGGTGGCACTAGAAAGATAAGACAAATAGTTTTAAATTTGTTTCTCGCTCACTCAAGCTAATTCGAACTCTAATAGGCCAAAATAATTTTACATGAAACTGTTACTATTGCATTTAGGTTGAAGCTCTCCTTAAGAGTCGAATTACGAATAATTTAACCTATTAATAAGATAATTAGTAAACTTATAATTAATTCTAATTTGACCCACACATTTAAATGTGTATAAATAAGTAATTAGTGACTTGAGTATAACACTTTAGCCTTATTTTTTAGAATTTGGTCAAGTTTCCCTTGCACGATTAAATGAATTCTCTCTCTTTCTCTCTTGTTTTCTCTTTGGATGTTTTACCTTACATCTAGATGAAGATAGAAGGCTAATTTCATTTATCAATTTAAAGATTTCAAGAATTGCATTTAGAATTTGAATTCTAAATTTATTTTGCAACGAACTTTTTTCATTTTTCTTTTTCTTTCTTTTCCAAATTTGAATTTGTTTTTCAGGATCATGATTTGTTTTTGAATGTTAGATGATTGATTAACTATCTAAATCAACCATTAATTATTCTTGAGTTCATAAGAATCAAGAATTTTGATTGTAATTTCCATTTTAGTGGATATACATAAGATGATCATTTAATTAAACTTATGTTAATTATAATTATGTTGATAACTTTGATCCTTGGATCGATGACTTATTCAGTTGAATTTTTTTAATTGATTGTTGTTTCACTATTTCAGTTGTTACTTTTGTGCATTTTGAATCTAATCACTTTCTAATTATATGATAATTTTGGATTCAATGAATTTGTGTTAAAATTTACTCTACAAAATTTAGGGAAATCTAGTTATTTTCAATAGTAACTTGACATTGTTATCATACAATCGATATAAAAACTAGAAAGTGAGGCAATGATAATTTTGAAATTATGAACAACTTTTCTACATCGGTTGAAACACAACTAATGTAGAATACAACCTTTTACATCAATTATAACTTAATAAATGTAAAAAAAATGATATTTTTCATTAACTAAACAATTAATGTATAATCCACATTTAATTCATCTCCATATCTCATTTTCATCTTCGTAGTCTCATTTCTTCTTCCTTTTACCATTGTCATAACCTTTCCTCTGCACCTATGACCACCATTTATGGCATTTGTCTCTCATTTCTAGCTCTAAAATGAGCTCTTATATGTTCGTGTTTGGACTAATATTTATATGAGCATTTGCAAGAATCATGTGTTTAAGGATAAAATGCACGCATCCAAAAAATCATATATGAATTTAAAGTTGTAAATTATGTTAAACAAAATCTTCCTCTAAAATCGCCTATAATGGCTAGATAAAAATTGGGCAATACATGTTTTAAGTAAAACAAACTTATGCTAGAGACTTAATTGTCAAATGTCAAACATGCTAAGTCTTTATACGTGTATCCAAAGAAAAGCAAATCCAATACTTGCATGTTTTATGAAAGTTATGCTTCGCGCCTTTTACTCTTCTTATATATATATATTTGAACCTTAAATTGTAAATGATCATAGGTAATAACTTGCTCTCAATATATTACATTTATTGTATAATTATCTTTATTGTATATAAGTACAATTCCTTATCAAAATTAACACAATCACTCAGACAGTGTAAAGAGAGAAAGAATGAAAGAGGATTATTCAAACATGACAAGGTGCATAGTCAAAAATGTCAACCTTTTTGGACAAAGCTTTGACTCACTTAACTTACCAACAACTCTTACAAATGAGTTATAACAATTATGCTTACTTTACATGAAAAACTACATATGGCGTTCAAAATCAAGTAGAAGAGGAAGAACATTAAAGTCCTCTCTCACAACATGTATCTTTCGAAAATACTATAAATTCAATTCAATACGATGAGAAGAAGAAAAATGTGTACATAACTATACAAAAACTCTACTACTTTGCCTCTCAAGGTCTTACATTCATTTTAAGTCCATCGTGGATGGATGAAGTTGGTATAAGTTCAAATAGTTCATCTTTATTTAGCAAATTATTATACATTGTGTTTACGCTTATCTTCTTTGTAAAAGTAATCTTGTAAACCTCAAACTTTTACTTAGTTAAGCCAAAAAAATCTTGTAGTTAAAGAATACTTTTATAAACTAAGTTTACATGTTTTAGTCACAAGGGATATATAGAATAATTTGTAGCCATAAGTAGTTATTAGGAATATTTGTTGTAACCTTTTTATTAAGTGAACCTTTTCCGTTGGAAAATAATTGGTCATAGCACAGTTAAAAGAACCGGTATGAAAACAAGGTGTTTTTAAATCTCCTTTTCCTTCATATTTTCCTACAAGAACTCTCTTTTAAGTTTATAACTGTTTATTCATCCATTACAAAAATGTTGCAAAAATATTCTCACACAACTCCCTTTCTATATGTTTATTTTACCATCAAAACTCAGTTAAGAAAAAAAATATCAATTAAAGACGGTCAGTCAATTTTTTTCAATAAAAATTAATTACTAATGAGATAAGATTGATCAATTTTCACACTTATAATACGAAAATTTTAATAAATAAATAAAGAAAGAAATAAAAACTTACTTTTTACTTATACAGTAGTTAAGTGCGAAAATACAAAAAGTACTGAAGTTTTTTTTTTTTTTTCTCATTTTTATTTTCTATCAAGTAAAATAAAAGGAATTTTGTTTACTTCTCTACAATTTTATTTTAATATTTTAAATAAATAAAATAGTTTAAAAATTTCCATATTTTTTTTACTTTTTTCATCGATCGACTTAAAAAGTATAGTAAATTATAAAGGAGACTAAAGTTTCTACTGATGTATAACTGGACTATGCTTAAATTATACCATTTTTATACATTTTAAACGATAAAAATTTAGGAGTTTTTTTTAATCATTAATTTATTTTTTCTTTTTTGAATGAACCAAAATAAAATATTTTATTTTTAACCAAACAGATTAAAAAAGATGAATTAATTTTCTTCAGTTTTTTATTTTTATTTTTATTTTGTTTTTTGACAAAGCAAATTAGAAAATAATCTTTTTGTTTTACTTTTTATTATTTGTTTTCAACACAATAAATTACAATAAGAATAAAGTAATAAAATTTCTATTTTTTATTATTGTGTTTTCCTTTATATGTTTTTTTATAATAATCTCTACCTTTATTTTTGTTGCGACGGGCCTAAGCCCAACTCATATTTCTTGGTCCAAGACTCCAAACACCTGTTTAGCCCAAATAATGTGTTATCAAATGACAACACTAGGTAAAAGCTTTCCAACATATATCTTTATGTAAAAAAAAAAAAATCATTAAAATAAAGAACAAAAATCATAGGTAAGTTACTCAAATTACCAAAAAATAAAATAGGCAAGTTACTCATTATATTAGAATCAATTATATATGTAATTAAAATTAAATAATATAACAATGATAATAATGTATTGTCTATTATAATCATTTTGCTTTTCAGTCTGATTAGATATAACATGTACTGCTATATTTATACTTAGATTATGTATAAAATAAGATCTAACATAATGCAATTAAATTTTTAAAATTTATTTTTTTAACATGATATCAATAATATATATAAATAGTCACTATAAAAATAAAAATAAAAATTAATAGTAATGTAACGAGTAAAGATGAAATAATTTTTGCAAGTGTCTAATTTTCAATTTTTAAAAAGATCAATTTCTTGAACTAATTTTATAAACATGTTAAATCATTTAGTTAACTATTATTACAGTAAAATAATTTTAATATTACTAATTTTCTTTTTTACACAAAACTAACTCATTGATAAAAAAAATAATGATTTGCTTGTAGTAAAATATATTTTACAAATTTTAATTAATTGATTATTTAATTGTATTTGATTAATTACCATTTTGAGCATAATGCAACTAATTTTATGTGAAAGAGTAAAACAATTGCAAAACTATATAACCAAACCAACGTATTAATAAATTGCAACCTTAATAGACTAGATCAGATGGTGCGAAATCTTTTGCTGGAAAAGAGATGACAATTTACACAAGTGACTTACTCCCACCAGAATCAAAACCGAGTTACATTATAAAGAATGGAGTGAAACCAGATTTTATTTTACTAAAGAAAAATTTATTAGTCTAGAAGTTGTTATTTGGTTAAAAAAAGCAAGATTAACAAAATTATTATGTAAGTACCATCTTATCCTTTTTTTTAAGTTTTCTATATGAGAGTGTTTAGAACACGAAATGATTTTATTTTATTTTAAAATTGCAGTTGAAAATATTAGTTTTTTTTACGTTTAATTTATCATTTAAAAATATTATTTTTATAGAAAATATGGTTTCTATAGAATGCTTTTAATATAAGTTTTCCATCAAATTATTCTTATGGGGATACATGAAAATTTAACGTTTTTTAAGTTAAAAAAAATAAATTAAAAATATTACATTGTTTGATGCACTTAGTTAAGTTTTAAAAATCTTTGATTCACATAAATATTTATAAATAAAAAAAACATTTATGACCAACCAACTGAATTGAATTTATCCTTGCCAAAATCTGACATGAATAATTTGGTTTGAGTCAATTTTTAAAGTTTAAACTTCACCCGATCAAAACTTGAAAATATATGAACAAGAATTGATTTGACTTTGTAACACTATATTAATTTTAACATTATGTATAATTAAATTATAAAATAAAACAAACATAAAACTTAAATTAAGGTATAATTTTATATTATAAAATAATAATTGCATTATAAATTAATATTATATTATTAAAAGTTTAGTAAATTTTTAATATTAATGTACAATAATTCAAAAAAAATTATAAAAGAATATTATATGTCAAATCAGATTGAACATCTGAAATATAACTCAAACGTGTTATAAAAATGCACACGATCCAATTTCAAAATCCAAGTCTGTCCAAGTCAATATCGGGTGGGCTCGAGTTACATGTGTGAGTTGGAGCATGTTCACTCCTAATTCAAATACTCATATATAAATATACTTCATTTTCTTTCATCTATGATAAACAATTTTTTATAAATAAAACTAATTATTATGTAATGTAATTTAAAATATTTTTATTAACATTATATTTGATTAAAATAATGTATATATTTGTTGATAACTATGACATAAATAGGAAGTATGTACCACCGTAAATAGTGATTAATCTTTATCGAAAAATGTAAACACAAATTAGGTGCATATTCTCCTCCTAACATAATCTATTTTATACCCAAAAGTCGGGACTTTAACTTTGGACAACTTGATTAATGATGTTGGGTCCAAAAAATGATCTTAAACCTTCTAGGATTTCAGGTTCTAATATCAACAAACATTGAAATTTTTCTAGAGAAAAGTTTTGCGAATAAAGTACTACAAAGAATGAGACACTAAGCTGATTGAGCTATCTAGCTAGATGAAGTACTTAGTCTGAAATACACACTTTTTAATTTCATATCCCTTATGATGTCTATTAACAAAATTGCTTGTGCTTGTATGATTTCTTAATAGATCGAATGAAAAAACTTCCTTGATACTTAGATTCTACTAAAAGAAACAAAAAAACATGTTTTACATCAACAAAAAGACAAAAAAATCCCCTAAATCATGGAAAACGCTAGATAAAGTTGTTCATAACTGTTCTAACCTGACACATATTTAATATAAAGTTATTGATCGATGTAATACTTAATAAAAATTACACTAGTATTATTATAACTCTCATATATATATATATATATATATATATACACGTTAAAATATAGATATTTATGAATGTATTTGCCAACAATCTTTTTTTGTAAATAAAAAATAAATCAAATCATATTTATATAAAAATTATAAAATATAAACTAATTAATCACACACTATGCCAAGTGGTAGGGGGAATTTATAGTTATTATTATATAAAGTTAGGATCTCCTCGATTGTTATTCTAAACACTTGGACTATGTATGTTTTTAATCTTGGGAAAAATGTTTGATTAGATTTTAATTTTAGTTTTGAATAGATTTTTAGGCCGTAAAAATATAAAAAAAATATTTTAATCACTGAAAAATGTGTTGGTTCTAATTCTCCTAAATTTATTTGAAATGATTCTTCTTATTATTACTATTTAATAATGATATATCATACATTTAAATATTTCACATCACTAACTATTCAAGATAATATATTTCATAACATATCTATGTTATGTTCTAAAAGAAACCATATCTATGTTATCTTATTAATAAATAGTCATATGAAGATATCATTTTATTAAACTTTAAAAATTCATAAGAATCAAAATTAACCAACACTTTTTTTTTTCTTTTCTGGAAGGATAGTAATAAAATCATCATATTTGAGATAATAATCAAACATGTTAAACCTTAGTTTCATCTGGTCTGTAAATTAATTGATGAGATTAATATTTCACAAGAAAGTTATTCTGTTGATGTACGTAATCATTTTTTAGATTGTTAAAAGTGTGCAATTGTTATTAATGCCATTTGTTTTGTTAGATTACTTATTTTGACAACCAATGTTTATTGGTTACATATATGTCTTTGACAGTGATAATTACGATAAATAATTATCTTGTTATTAATTAATGCTATTTTCTAATAATGGAGGTATGCTAACTCATTAACATATTTTCTTAATTATTCATTTGAGCCTTGTTAGTGTATGTCTTTTGATGCGATTGATTAACAAGAGTTGACAACAAGAGCTACTAAAAGTGATTTAAGAACAATATTTGGTTCAAATATGTAACAATGGAGATGCTCTTATATCTCTATATGTATGCGAGTACGCAAAATTCAAAGTACTTTCTTCAATCTTCATCCATTTGGTAGAAATTCACGTCATAACACACGAATCCATTTCTATAGCCAATAAAAAACCATCCCATTTTTCTATAAGTGGCTCTTGGAGATTCCTATATGAATTTCTATTGGTTTGAAATATTTGATCTCATATATATCATTTATGACTTGCCTGTTTTGGATTCTTTACACGCTAAGAGATTATAATATCGTCAAATACCTCGTCCATCCAATAAGGATTCGCCATTTTAGATTTTGGATAAGCTATGTCACCTAAATGAACTGTAAAAATATCAAGTACTGCAAGGTAGGGACCAAAGTGTAATTACAACATTGCTAACATGCACAGTTACGTAATATGTGGTTGAGAATGCTTGTGCATGTTGTACCAAAGTGACGTGGCCCAAGTACAAAGCTTTTCGAGAAACGCTATAGTATTAGCTCCCTTAATATTATTACACGAGCATTTAATATATATAAGCTAAGTAAAAACTACGTATTTCATTCATCATGTTATTTTAACACACGAAAATCTTCTGCAGTTTTCCTTTTCCCAACCAATAACCCAGACTCCTTAACCTCCCCATTTATTACATAATAAATCGTGTGTGTCACTGTGAGTACTTTTATTTTTTGAAAATACTGGACCAAGTGCAAATTAAATAACACAAAGGTTTCTAGCCATGTGGGTCTCCAACCTTCAGAATTGATGTATATTTTGTTCATCACAACTACCTATAAGGCTATAATTCAGTTCCATTCGATTCATGTAATGTAATGTAATTGCTCCCTCATGAAAATGGACCCGTGTAACCATCAACCCCACTTCGCTCCTTTCATAATTTCCCTGTCTGTCTTCATCTGTGGATAGAACATGTGTCCGTTACAGTCACTCATTTCAAATTTGTGGCTCTCATGCGGCGTGGACCCAAAAATATCAAACACACTACTGAAACCATAGCCTGGTATAGTTCCACGTCAATTGTTAATTTGTCAGCATATCTAGTGGAATCCATAATGATACGTGGAAGTCCCAGATTGGTGAGAAACCAGACATAGAATCTAACCCACTCGTGGATTGCAAGGGTGCCAAGTGTAGCACAAAATCTAAAACCCCCAATGAGATTGTAGCTTTAGATAGCACAAGATAAGACCTGAACCACTTCACCCCATATAAATAAACCCAACCACTACACAAAGCAATTCACAACACCCAAAGAGTCCTCAACAAAGCTCACTCTTGAAATAAACAATGGCTGCTTCCTCAATGGCCCTCTCCTCCCCATCGCTGGCCGGAAAGGCGGTCAAGCTCTCCCCATCGACCCAAGAAGTCGGGAGAGTCTCCATGAGGAAGACCGTCACCAAGCAGGCCTCCTCCGGAAGCCCATGGTACGGCCCAGACCGCGTCAAGTACTTGGGCCCATTCTCCGGCGAGCCCCCGTCCTACCTGACCGGCGAGTTCCCCGGTGACTACGGCTGGGACACCGCCGGGCTTTCCGCTGACCCCGAGACCTTCGCCAGGAACCGTGAGCTTGAGGTCATCCACTCCAGGTGGGCCATGCTGGGAGCTTTGGGCTGCGTCTTCCCCGAGCTCTTGGCCCGCAACGGCGTGAAATTCGGCGAGGCCGTGTGGTTCAAGGCCGGCTCCCAGATCTTCAGCGAGGGTGGGCTCGACTACTTGGGCAACCCAAGCCTCATCCACGCCCAGAGCATCCTCGCCATCTGGGCCACCCAGGTTATCTTGATGGGCGCTGTTGAGGGTTACCGTATTGCTGGTGGGCCTCTTGGGGAGGTCACCGACCCAATCTACCCTGGTGGGAGCTTTGACCCATTGGGCCTCGCTGATGACCCAGAGGCTTTTGCTGAGCTTAAGGTGAAGGAGTTGAAGAACGGTAGGTTGGCCATGTTTTCCATGTTTGGGTTCTTCGTTCAGGCCATTGTGACCGGAAAGGGCCCACTTGAGAACCTCGCTGACCACCTCTCTGACCCAGTCAACAACAACGCCTGGGCCTACGCCACCAACTTCGTCCCCGGAAAGTGAAATGTTTGAGTTTTAGATTTGTGTTTCGTGAAGTATATGTTATTGCAATGTACTTCAGATAATGTGAATTATCTTGTGTATCCAATCCAACTCAATGTTACTTGCTTTTTACAAAATTCAACTCTCCACTTTTTCTCCCTATCTCGCACTTCGTTACACAATTCTTCACCACCCAATTCTATTTTTAACTATGTTATGGTTATGGTAAAAAATTAAAATAAATAACCAAATATACTAATGTTATATATGTGGATGTGATAACAAATATCGCAATACGAAAATGGACAAGAAAATTCAACCATTATCAGTGTCATCGCATTCCAATTTCTTTTCCTCGCTAAAACAGGTATGTTTATGTAATTGTAATTCCAACAGCGTTACATATTCTTAATGGAGTCTGAAATCTGAAGTTTGATGTTTGCTTAGGTTGAAAAGAGGTTAAAATTAGAACAAACTTCACTGCCAATAGAATCTCAGATACAAGAAAGCACTTTGGGTTCTCCTATGTTCCTCCAACCCAGTGGTAGCCAGAATTCTGCATCCCAAGATAGCAGTGAACCTCCTCAAGCGTTTCTCTCGGTTTCCCAGGAATTTCCAGAACCCAATCAGGGTCCTTCTCAAACGGATCCTGAAAATGAAGCTGAAGATGATGACATTGGAGTGTTAATGCAGCTATTGGGGTTAACGGAAGAACAAGAAGAAAGAGGTGGTTTTGATGATGGTGGTTCTTGTCACTGTGAAGGTGGGTTTTATGAAAAAATTGTTGGTGTGGAAGGGCCCAAGTGTGGGAAGGAGGTGCAGAGGTTAGATGGGTGGATCAAGCACTTTCTGAGTGGTGGTAGGGAGAAGCAGGAACCCTTGAGATTGGCACACCTGCTTTTAGGGAAAGCTGCTTTTATTTCTGATGGTGCTTTTGGAGGATTGGACTTCCCTTCAACCATTCAAGAATTTCTTCACACTGATCCACCCAGTAATTGAGGCCATCCCCCATTTTCTTATTACTCTTTAGCTTTCTTCTTTCTATTTGTTACATGCAAATGCAATCAGTTTGTTGAAATTGGATCATGTAGTCTACACGCAGACGCTCTATCAAAATTTCTTTTAGTAAATCTTCAATCTGAATTCTATTTGTTACTTTGAATCAGTTTAAATTTTACAATCTTATGACATTGATGGTTGTATGAACACGATAGAAACTATAGAGTCTGTATAACATAAAACTTGGAAGGTTCTTTCATGCTCTTGTGAATATATTGGGCAATTAACTTGAAAGTAATCTGTTACAATTCATTTCACATTATCATTCTCCAACTATATAAGGGAGCAAATTCCATTGTACAGAAAATAAGTAAAGAAGGGTTAGATGAGTAAAACGATTAAATGCATACTTTAGGCTGAGGGGGCTGACTTCAGAGGTAGTGTAACCTTTTGCTTATAGTTTTGTTAATTTGCCTTATTTCTTATAAGATTATGATTACATGCCGTACTTTGTAACTTCCCTGGTTTCCACCGTGCAATTTTATTAATGAATATGCAAAAGTATATTTGCATTTAACCCAGGAGTGGGTAGGGGGATGAAAAAGTAAAGACATGCAACAATGGACAATCAATGTTATTCTACATGATTGTGAAGGAAGGCTGACAATTTCCATAGGTTTAATTGGAAAAATGTCATGGATACAATAAGGCAATAGGAATGAGGTAATTGGGAAGCATAATAATATTTCTTCTTTTGAAAAGCAGCTCCAAGGATTGATGGGTGGTGTTTATAATTTAACAAGATAGTGTTGTTTGAAGCTTCACAAGGGCAGATAACACCTCGTTCATATTGGGTCGATGTTCAGGATCAGGGAGGGTGCAGCACAAGGATAGTTTGAAGAGATCTACCAATACTATATCATGGTCTTTTGTAACATTCCAAGCCAATAGAGGGTCCACAATATCGGCAAGTGGTTCTATTCCATTTGCAAGGGCTTTTGTAACTACTTCACGCAAAGTGATGGGCAAACCATCCTCTTCCGAGAGTCCTGTAGGCCTTCTTTTTGTTAGAAACTCCATTACTATGATACCAAAGCTGAACACGTCCGCCTTAGTCGTGACCTTCCTCATGTAGGCAAATTCTGAGAATTACACAGCAGAAATATCTTGTTTAGAGAGTGAAATTTAAAAAATACTTTGGGTATACAATGTCAATAAGCTAAGAGGATTGGAAACAAAGAAAGTTGTATTTGATATTTTAAAAAAACTTGGATATGTATGATAGGCAAAAAATTAGCTATCAGTATGGGCACAAACTATAGAGAAGGGAAAATTTATTATTATCTTTACTATCTAAAGAGGTAATGTTCTGCATGCTTCTGTGAATCTAGTGACAAATGTTTATGCCGATTCCTTACATGTGAATTAGTTAATGTCACTTGTAGCAAAACCTGATGGAAGCTCTGCACAGTAAACTTACGTTGGTACAATCAATTAATAGGATCCAGTGTGAATTGTAACCAATGCCTCTTTTCTGTAAATACTTTGAAAAGGTAATATGTCTCTTTAACAGAATGAAGGGGGTGATAGAAACTAATATAGCATCTGAGAGGGGAGGGGGGAGATGATAGCTGTGGCGTGGACTATTTATAAATTACTCGATGTATTCAAGAAACAAAATAATAAGTTATGTAATCATGCAAGTCTCGGTGATGCTACCTACTTTGAATAGAACAATCAAATATTGGCTTATATGCAATGAATAAAAACAGCAAATAGACACTAACACACGTTCAAGTCTTGAACTCTTCTTCTTAATGCTAGTTTCACTGATTAGAACAATTTAAGGTGCAGGATTACTCACTAATCAAATCCAACTAGAACTAAATATTCATTTGGATTGCAAGTCTGCCATGACCATGATTGTGATGAAAATATATTATACATTGAACATAAGAGATTAGCAAAATAGAAAAGGCTTATACCTGGTGCCATGTAGCCAACTGTGCCTTGCAAAGCTGCTGATGAGGAAAGGGTACTGCCATCCTGCAGATGAAGACCAAGTATTCTAGCTGTCCCGAAGTCACTGACATGAGCTTCCCATTCTCTATCTAAAAGGATGTTAGAAGGCTTTAAATCACAGTGTACAATGGGAAAATCAATACCAGAATGCAAATAATCCAATGCACTAGCTATAGAAATGAAAACTCGGACTCTTTCAGTTAAGGTCCACCTAGAGATCACAGATTGATCTACTCCCTTGCTGTGTATGATGCTATCTAAGTTCCCATTCTCCATGTACTCTAGAACCAAAGCCTTCATTTTCCCACTCTCCCAGACATATCCAAGTACCTTGACCAAATTCCTATGTCTCATATGGCTCAAGGTATTGGCTTCTCTCTTGAAGATCTTGTCAGTATTTGCTGAGAAATGTTGCAAATTCAATCTTTTTATAGCTACAACCTGGCCATCTTTCATTTGACCCTTGTAAACTGTGCTTAAACTGCTAGCACCAATGATGCTATCTGTGCTGAAAAAACCAGTGGCATTTTCCAAGTCCTCTGGTTCGAACCTTTTAAGTGCCAATGCTGAACAATAGTCTGGTCCATGATTGGCGCTAATATCTCTTTCTCTAGAATTGCAGAGTTTGATGCCTCGATTGTGAATTAGAATCACTAGCACCAGAAATAGAAGTATAGCAAGAGATCCAAGTGCAGCAATAATAGATATGCCCTTCTTGGATAGTGAATGCTTTGTCTCTCTGCATGGTGATAGGAACTTTGCTCCACAAAGATCCTGGTTTCCTATCATATTAGATGCATTGATGTCTGCAAATATTCCGGTCTTAGGTACAGGACCCTCAAGTTGATTGAAGGAAAGATTGAGGTGCACCAAGTTGGAAAGGTTGGCAAAGCCCTTAGGAATAGTTCCCTTCAAGTTATTCTGAGAAAGATCTAAGGAACTAAGATGATCAAGTTCTGCCAATATTTCTGGGATTTCTCCTTCTAAATGATTTCTTGAGAGGTTTAAGCTTTCAAGCAAGTCCATGCGACTAAAAGCTTCTGCAGGAATAGGACCTGAAATATTGTTTCCTGAAAAATCAAGATTGAACAGATTTCTGCACCCAGCAAGTGTTTTGGGAATGAAACCTGAAAGATTGTTGTTTGAAATATCAATAGCTTGTATCATTTCCAACATGCCCAACTCAGTTGGAACATTTCCAACCAAGTGGTTGTAAGAAAGGTTAAGATACATCTGCATGTCTTTGAAATGTGCAGTGACATCCCCGGGAATTGGTCCTGTTAGGAGGTTGTGAGAAAGATCCAAAACTAAAAGCTGATTAAGCTGCCCCATGCTTCTTGGAATGGACCCATTAAGTCTGTTGCCATGAAGGTCTAAGTATGAAAGCATCTTAAGCTTTGAGATAGAATCAGGTATTTGACCAACCAACTTGTTTTGATGCAGCAAAAGTTTGGTTAGTTCTTCCAATTCAAAGAGTTCATCAGGTATTGTACCTTCTAATGCATTGTCATATAGACTGAGCCCCTGAAGGTTAGAAAGTTTGAATAGTTCTGGAGGAATTTGACCTGAAAACTTATTTTCAGAAAGGGATAAAGTGATGAGTTGATTCAAGTTTCCAATCTCTGGTGGAATTGGTCCTATGAAAGAATTTGCATTCAGCTGCAGGCGTAGGAGTTTAGACAGGTTCTGGATACCTGATTTTATTAATCCACTGAAGTTGTTCTCTGCCAAACTTAGACTGCTGAGATTTGTGCAGTTATAAAGGTCATCTGGGATTTCCCCAGTCATTTTGTTGGATGCAAGAGACAGGAAAGTAAGATTAGGCGACCTTGAAAAACCCACAGGAATTTTCCCAGTTAAAGCATTAAAAGACAAACTTACATTTACTAGACTTGTACAATTGGTAATGCTAGGGGGAATGGATCCATGAAAGTAGTTGGAGTTCAAAACAAGAAACTTCAAACTATGAAGCACACCCAGGTTTGAAGGAAGTTCACCTGAAAGGAGGTTCTGGCTCATTGACAGATATGTCAAGTTTGTCAGGTTTGTTATTGATGAAGGGATCTTCCCAGTAAACTTATTTAAATGCAAGGTCAGAACTTGCAAGGAATTTAAAGATCCAATCTCAGAAGATATTATTCCCTCTAAGTTATTCTGTGAGAGTCCTAAATGTGTCAATGATTTCAACCGGAAAATGGAAGATGGGATGGTGGAATTCAAGTTATTGCGATGTAACTTCAAGTTTTCCAGCTGAACTAAATTTCCAAGCTCAGGAGGAATACTCCCAGTTAACTGATTTTCAGATAACTCGAGGTTTAAAAGTTTGCCACACTTAGCAAGCTCGGAAGTGATTTTCCCACTCAAGGAATTTTGGAACAATTCAAGGTACTCTAAATTTGTCAGATTTCCAATCTCTCGAGGTATTACACCTGATAACTTGTTTTGACTAAAATCAAGAGATCTCAAAGCTTCCAAGTGACCTATGGAAAGAGGTATAGACCCTACCAAGTTATTTCCAAAACCTGCAATCTGTATAAGGTTAACTAGATTCCCAATGTTTGATGGGATTCTACCAGTAAGATTGTTGAAATTAAAAGCAATACCCAACAAAGAAGTGCAGTTGAATATGCTGTCAGGGAGGCTTCCATTCAAAAAGTTGCTACCTAAATCCAAATACTGCAGGCTTTTAAGGTTACCTAATTCAGGAGGGATAGGACCTGAGAGAGAATTTTCAAAAAGAATCAGCTGAGTAAGTTGAGTGCAAAGACTGAGCTGAGCAGGAATATGCCCAGTGAATGAGTTTGAAGTTAAATCAAGAACCCGAAGGCCTGAAAGGTTTCCTAGGAATGGTGAAATCTGCCCTTGGAGCTGAACACTAACCAAGGAAATTGAAATGACATGATTTGATGATGTATCACATGCAATGCCAGACCAGTTGCAGTGGTGGTGACTGTCAACCCAATCTGCAAGAGCCCCATCTGGGTCACCAGTGATGGAGTTCTTAAAAGCTTTCAAAGCTTCAATTTCAACATCCAAGCTTGTTTCAGCATGGGAAACTATGTATACAATGGAAAGGACTGTGACTATAGTCAAACTAATCTTTAGGGACAACAACATTGTGGAATATGGTAGAATATTCAAT